CCCCAAAACCCCAAAACCCCTTTTTTCAATGAGATTTTAATAATAATGATCAATATTTATTAAAAATATACTTATTATCAATAATATGAGACCATGTTTAAAAAGGTATTAGTTCTCCTAGGTGCGATTTAAAATTACTGCTCATAAAGATCATTCATGAATTTTATATTATACAATCTCATATCCCCTAATTAATCTAAATCCTCCCAAAGTTTAAATTCTTCCATTTAATCTATCATTTCTATTTGTTATTAATAATCTCTGATGTATTTGACAAATTAAATGATGCTTAAATTTTCCGCTTAAGAATTCAGCCTTTAAGGCAGGCTTTAGCTTTATCTTCTTTTAGAAAGTCTCTCAATCTCCTCTTCAATAATCTAGAAAATACTTTCTTCAAACTGAAGTGATTCTTTATGCTGATCAGAGTCAACATGCTCCCAATAATCAATATCGCTTGGAATATTTATGTTACATTTGATACAAATCATTTTTGCAGGTTTTAAATCATCATTCTATTTTAACAAATTAAGATTTGATTAATAGTAACTTACTGTGATATTGTTTCCTTTTTACTTTAAGCGCATTTCTCTCTCCTCTATCATTTTAATAGTCTAAATGTTTTACTACTCAATAGAGGAGCTCTATATGTGATTCAGGTTTAGCTAAAATTCATTTGTATTCAAACATAGTGGTATATTAATTGGAGCTATTCTATCATCTCTAACTCATACCTTATGTAAATCATTTCTTACACTATAAAGCTTTATTGCCTAAAAGAGTAAAACTTACTCATTGATGTTAAACTTATGGACTTCTTATTTTCTCTCATTCAAATTTGAAATTGCAAAAGTCTATTATCTCATATCATAACCACTATAGTGTTGTATGTTGCCTTTTTTGTAGTGATATTCTGGTTAAGAACTTTAAATGAATTGTAAAAACTGTATGAAATTGAATTCATCTTAGTTATGGAGACTTGATGCTGTAGTATTAAGACTTTTACTTAAGTTTATTGAGAGAAAATATTGATTATTTTCTTTAGCTTTTTTCAAATGCATTAATTACTAGTAATTTATCTGTTTGCTAGCATCACTTAGTTATTCATCTTCAAAAATATTTATAATTCTGATCTCAGAAGGGTTACTAATTTTCAGAGGAAATCTAGTCATATTAGAAGTGTGAGAATTTCTTGAATATCTCTATGCAGATGGAGTATTAGGCTCTCGGGTACCTATGTAATTAATGGTAGCTTTGCTATCTCTCAGAAGTTTGGCTATTGTTCCTGATATCTAATGATATACTTGCACTTTCAAAGTTCTAAGATCACCATAGCTTTTAAATGCTGCTTAAAGTTGATCTTCAACTGATTTTTAGTCACTCTGTATTCTTTCAATGATGAAATTTCTAATAGATACTTGATGCTAAAGGTTAAATTTCACCAAGACATTTTTTGCAGAATTATTTCTACTATGATCCTATGATATTTGCCTATTATCTCTGACCTCATTTTTATTAGGAAGTTGATTTCTGTTATTTCTTTGTTGATATCTTTAATGGCGAGGTACATTTAAATGCATTTTAAATTAATAAATATTACTTATTGAAATCCAAATGATTTCAAATTTATACTGAAGGGGTTTTGGGGTTTTGGGGAGATCGGAAGAGCACACGTC